AGCTGTCTTCTTCCATTTCAGTAGAAATGGTGTGGTTGTGAGACAGAAAAGAAAAGCAGAAAAGCTGCTGTCACTGCTTAAACGTTCTGTCACTAAATGACAACTCAAAGGAAATTAAGACAAACAAACTAATTATAGAGCTTTGAGGTGTCTTTTTTCTTATTTGTGTGCCATGCTCTTCTAACTAAGAATAGAAAATATAAATGATCATGTTAAGCAAAAGCATTAAACGTAAATGTTTTTCTAGTCTCCATGAAAAGAGTAATACATGCTAAGTTTGAGTCTAGTTCTTAAAAATACATTTGTGAAGGGGCTGCATCAAGTTTGTGGCCATAATTTACTTACTAGCAGTGGTAAATTAACTGTGATGCTTACTTTAAAATGCCATTTTGGTGTAAGAATAGTGAAATAAACAGTGATATACCTGCTGCTGGGGATTTGTTTAGCTCCTTTAAACTGAGCTAGGAGAACCGATTTCATTATTTCACCTACTTGCTGCTTTTGAAGCTTAACTGACCAGTCTACCGGAAGGGTTTTCAAAGATTTCACAGGGAGACCGCTCCTGAGAAATTGAACAAAATTAAATGAAGCGTGAGGCAGTTCACCGGGGCTACCATTTTAATGGAGACAGGCGTTTAATATATTTATTTTGCCAACATTATTGTCTTCACAGGGATAGATTAATGAGAAAATCCCACATGTAACATCTTAAACAGTCAGAAAAAGAAATGGCCGTGATCTGTAGCCCGGCCTCATCAAATGAGTGCATGGTTCCAGCCCACCTCTGCTCCACGCCGTGCCAGGACCGCCGTACCAGACAGCATGCTTGTTCAAAGGCAATTTTTAATTGAATGTCAGTGAAGCAAGAAGAGAACTGGCCACTAATTAACGGCTGTCTTAATTGTCCTCATGACGAGTTTGTTTGGACATCATTTGCATAATTAACACCCAGTAATAAATCATTTAAAGGGGAATTGTCTGTCAGACAGCAGGGCAGGATGTGGTTCCTTTGTGCCAGGAAGTTTTATCGCCAAAAACAGGGATCAGGGGCCGAAAAACACTTTCAACTGAGCCTTACTTAATAATGATCTTTTATTAATGATTTGGTCAAGGTTGTAGAGGACCTTGTTCAATATTTAAATGAATACATTAATAGCATTCAGCATTTTTCCTCCTTCTGTTACATTCACTGTGCTGTGCCCCTAAGGAATCCGTCTACATTCATTACAACTTATTTCAATGGAGAGTTTAGATTTTTTGTTTTATAAATTTCTAAATTTCTTTGTGGGTTTCAGAGGGCAGAGTGTTCCTGCAGACCACCGGGATGTATTGAAGATGAGATGGAAGGATGGATGGATGAATGGAGAGATGAATGGAAGAACAGAGCGTTGAAGATTCCTCCTTTTATGAGAAATACATTCGACAGGCATGCTCAGTCGCGCGGTGGCATCTGAGATACAGCTCCACCTCGTCCAGAGGACTCCACTACATGTCAAGGGTGACATTTGAACTTTTCCATTGTTCTCCTGTTTAATTTATTGCATTTATCACCGAATCTCGCCGTAGTGGGAACAGTACTTTACTCTGATGATGTGTTTTGACTGTGTTTCTTTCAATCAAGGTTTTTAGATCCTAGATGAAGATGACCATTGTTGTTTTTTTGTCAGTGCTGTTTATCTGGACACAAGTGATGAATATAACTTGTAACAGAGTTGTGTACATATATATAGTCATCATTTTTGTTATTATTATCAAAAAAACATAAAGGCATGTTGTACAGTCAGTAAATGACTTGTATTGTGTATGTTATGCAGTAGTGCAGTTTGACAATACAAACAATACAAATCCTTTTTATTAAATTGTGTCTGTGCGTATTTCTTTATTTCACAAGTGAAGTCTCTGACTGCACCATTCATTATTCATTTTATTTATCATATTTTATTGATTTTTCTGAAATACATCGCACCTATCTGAAATGTGCATTTAAATTATAGTTTAGTTGGTTTTTTTGTGTCAAAGCAGTAAACCCTTGAGATTTGTTTTGTGTGTGTGCATTGCATGTTTATAGATATGTAAGGGTGTGGGGAGTGATGTGACACTGATTCTTGCCACATCTCCAAAAACATACACATAAGTATTGACAGGCGGGAAGGTGGTGAGCAGGGTCACATGTAAGCTGTCCTTTAGTGAAACATGATGACGGTGCACTCTCTCTGTCTGCGGCTGCACTCATTTTTTATCACGTTTCTCCCCATCGTGGTAGAGAAGGTTGAGGGACCTCAATAGCTTAACTTGCTTCAATAAATCGTAAACAGCACATTTTAGATACATCTGTAGAAAGATAAGTAAAGAAATAGATAAAGAATTATGTTAAAAAAGATTTGACACTTTTGCTGTGTGAAAATGTGTGGCTAATTTATAATCATTGCCTGCCAAATGTTAGTGTTGCAGGAGATATCTAATTCAACTAATGAATAATATTTTCTGACTCGCTTTTGGATTTAAGCCCTGCAAAAGTCTGGTGATATAAATCAATTGTAGCTCAACTTGTAATTTAGAATTTGAAAGAAGGTATTTCTGCACACATATAAGAGATCATAAACTGAAGTCGGGACTGCTCAAGGCCATTTAAAGCAAAGAGTGTGTGTGGCTGGAGACATGCAAAACTACATAAAGTGTTCCCCAGTTGAAGCATAGGGCTAAGGGATGAATGCATAATAAATAAGGGGTCATGGATCACAAACGCTGCTCAAAATTGATTGTTTAGAAATATTTGAAGAAGTTAATTTCCTCTAGAACATAACAGTGGATGCTCAGAATCCTAATTGGCTAGCAATATTAAGTCTTAAGTAAGTCCTAAGTAATATGTTTCACATTGTTCAAAATTTTTTGTGACAAAATTTTTTTTTTTTTTGCAGTAGGCCAGATTTTGCTCATGCAACCTTGTCTTAATGTGCAGTGTGCCATTTCCTGGACACAGGCAGATAAGCTATGATGCAGGACTAAAACAATACCTCTGTTACAAGCAATTCTTCCTGAATACAGAGCGGCTGACAAGTGAATAGCAATGATTCACATAAATGAATGTGTGAATGAGTCATCAGCTTTTCAGATGACCACCTCAGAGGCTGTCTTGACTAAAAAGGTTTGTGACTTCATTCAGCACTGCTATACTCTTTCACGCTCCCTTGTATCTCACACACACACACCCACACATACACATCCCTTACAATTCACAGAGTAGCATTGTCCTGCCGAGAGATGTGTAATGGAAAAGATAAATGGAGGATAAAGCTAAGGTGACAGGATCGAGCACGCATGTGTGTATGTGTATTTGCATGTGTGTGTGTGTTTCTGTGTGAGTGTGCGTTCCCGCCTGTGTGTACTGCACAACAGACCAGCAAACCATCTGCTCATCTCCTCTTAATGAACAAAGCAAACAGCAGGAGTCAAGGCTGTCTCCAAATCTGGAGTCTCTTTATTGGTAAGCACACACAAACACACACACACACACACATACACATACACACATCTCTGCGCTGTTTAATCTGATTATCTTTGATTGAGAACAGGGGCAAAGCAACCTTTTTAGACCTCACTCCTACATCAGTGACAGAGAAGGTCTGAAACACAATTAGCAAGCTGTTCCTGAGCTCTGCTTTGCAGTCACATCTGACCACAGGCAGCCAAATAGACCTAATGGGTGGGAACTAACCAATGGGAACCAACACGCTACTGCATCTGTGGATGATGGGGAAATGCAACACTATTAGACAGCTGTTCGCCATATCTTTTCAAATGTACTTGGACGTAACATAAGCACTGGATCAATTGGCTCAGGAGCAATCACAGCCAGGCATGAAGGTATACACACAGTTTGATGTGAATAAAACTGGCAGCATGTAGTGTAAGACAAAGCAGGGCCCCTGCAAAGGAAGTCTGGACCTTGACAAGATATGACACTGTGTGCATAAGGCCAGAGGACCATACGAAAAAGTCATTAATCTGGACTTTGTGTGGCCACATCCTGCTCAAGGCCCCAAGGATAATTAGCACGGTTACCACTCTGTCAGAAAGCTGACCACATGGCTTTAAGACATGAAACACTCCGTTCCTGCTCCTTCTACGCATATCCAACCCATAAACACATATTAGGTAATGGTCATAGATGCAAAGGCTAAAGATCAAACATTGGACCAGTGCTTCAGGGCCTGGGAAAACCCTGTCTGAGGTGCATAAGAGAACAGCAGGGTGGGCTTCATCAGGTGGATCATCTGGCTACAGCATCCCTGCTGAAATGCATGTGAGCAAGACACTAAATCCAAGCTGCAGGGGTGCTGAAGCCGTCAGATCAGCCGTTCTCAACTTGGGGTACCCCCTCTTCGGGAGACAAGGATAGAGATGACCCTGCTCTCATGCACTGCGGTGGGTTGTTCAGGGACCATGATCTGATGCTGATTCTTACAGGTTTGCTTTAAATCATTTGCTCACCTCAGCTATCTCACTCTCTCTCTTGTTGTATTTTTTACTGTACAAACACATTTACTTATCTTTAAGGTTTTATTTTAATGTATGTCTTTGTTTTATTATTTTACTGTTATTTTAATTTTTAGTTAGTTAGTTTGCATGCTTGTTTTGTTTGCTGCATTGCTTCGACAATACATTATTTTAATTGTTATTATTATTATTAGTAGTAGTAGTAGTAGTCACAATTCATCACTGCAGATCTAAATTAATTTTCCATTTTTGTTATTTTTTTTAAGTACCTTAATTTGTAAACTAAATTAGATTAATTAAAAAGTCTTAAAAACAGAAAATTTAATCAGTTTTATTATTTTGTTGCATATCTTCAGCAACTGATCACAGATATAACTTATTAATATTCAATATTCATTTCATGGAAACACGTTGTGCAGGTAAGGTTACTTAAACAATGTCTGGAGATCGTCAACAAAGAGCAACAGCGCCTCCGACAGGTCAGTTTTCTCCTCATTTCAAATGACTGCGAAGTTACACCTTTTGGGCTTCTCGGGCTCCTGTAGGAGGTTCCCTTTCCCCTGTCTCTTTCTCCGTACAGTCACAGCATGGATCCTCTCTCCAACTTTATTTCGGTGTTCTTGTGTTAGTTCCGTGCTGCTTTTGGGATTAATGGTCTTCGACTGGATTCCGTAACTCGTCTGGACGCCATGTTTACCACCACCGGCTCTCGGGGCCTCTGTAAGTATCCCGGATCCACCGTCAAACGACAGCCGGGCGGTCGCAGCCCTCTCCCGGCTCCTCCTGTTGGTTCCCACGGTATCAGCTAGCTTAGCTTACTGCAGCTAGCATGTGGCTGTCATTCATTTACTCGAGGCAGTTTTAACAGTAATGAGCTACGTTTAGTTCATTAAAAACCCCACATTGTGCTTTTACATTTAGTCTGTTGAGTCAGCTAAGGTGTCATTGTTGAAAATAAGCTAAATGTGTTGAAAGGTCATCTTCTGAATAACCAGATAACGTTACATTTGTGTTACTGAGGAGGATGTGTGTCTGCCCTGTCTTCTTCTCTCTCTTCCGTCAACACGCCTCATATTAACGCTATGTAAAGTTGTTCGTCGAAGGAGGCGACTGTATCACTGTGTGTGTGTCTGTGTGTCCGTCCTGCACAGACAAGGCTCCTCTGTCTAAAGGCCTCCTGCTGGTTCTCAATGGGCTGACTGTGATGCTCACCCTGCTGCCACAGTACCAAGAGGTTTTCATGTACAACCTGCAGGCTTTCACACAGCAGCACCAGGTATGTCTCCAGTCTCTTGGAGAGGATAGTACAAGGGCTTGGACTCCAAAGTTTAAAACAGAGAGATCATCCCCATTGTGTATTGTGATTATGGCTCTCAACCACATTTCATGGTCTTCACTAGCGAATGGAGTTTGCACAGTTGTCATTGTGTTGACACTGTTGTCATCACGTCACCAATGTAACCTAAGAAATGTCAATTGCACGATAATTGACTGATTGGTGCAATAAAGTGTGAACTGTGTACACAAGAAACTGACAATGTCAGCTGTTTGTGATCACCGGTACAAAACCAGTGGCTGGTGTGCCATCGACTGGGTGAGGAGTCAAAGGTCATGGACCAGAAGAGAGTGTATGGCTGGAGAAAGATAAAGCCCATTCATATCTGACACCAAAGACCGTCTTTGACCAGAGACAGGAATGACGCTGTCACCCTAATACACCTGTTATCACGTGACTGAAGTTCCATACTTGGATCACACGATGAGCCAGTTTCATTCTCTGTTGAAGACCATGATGTGCAGTTTAAAAGCTACTGTGTGTTTAGTTATTTGTATTCATTTATTTTAGTTTTTTAGTTTCTCATTCATATGTCTACTTTATGATAGTCATATATGATGCCATAAAAGAAAATGTATGAACTGAATGGCAAAATAAAAAGTACAAATAATAAAAGCTACTAAGTGGACTTTGACTTAACATTATTTTGACAAACTGTTTTACAAATGATTTGGTATAGAAATGTATTGCTTCTTGGTGGGTCTGATATGTGAGATAGGGCTTAACATTTGGTTTACATAGGGTGTGTTATTCAGAAAAGGCATACTGTTGTCTGTCTTCCCTTGTCTGTTAAGTCTGTGTGTGTGTGTATGTATAACTTTGCTCTCCCTTGTGCTGTAGGTATGGAGGTTTTTATGTGGCAGGCTGGTCTGTCTAGACGTGAAGGACGCCTTCTGTAGCAGCCTGCTCATCTACAACTTCAGAATCTTTGAGAGGAGGTTTGGCACCAGGAAGTTTGCTGTAAGTACCAAAACCACTGAAAGATGACTTCATAGATGGACACACAGAGTACATTTTTAATACACTTGCTGAACTTGATTGCTTTAGAACCTAGAATGGACGGATTTAATGTGATGAAGTGCCATTTCACACTGTGTCACGTTCTGTGACTCCAGATTTGCTTGTGGGTTATTTCTTCTCCAGTTTCATAAACAAAAGCTGAATGTTAAGAGCTTTTGTAACAGAATTCAAAAGTATGATCGTCAATGACAAGTAATCTTAGGTTCACTTGTGTAGAAACTTCATCTTTTAGGGAACAGGTCACACGACTTCCTCATCCGGCACGAAGCAGTTCTCACTAACCTACTCTGTGAATAACATCTGATCTAACTTGTGAACTCTGTGCAAATGTAAGGTATTGTTCTAATCATCATATATGGGGCTTTTTTTAATTGCAGTCCTTCCTGTTGGGTACTTGGTGTCTCTCTGCACTGATGGACTTCCTGCTGGCTCAGGCTTTCCAGTTTCTGTTTGACTATGAGGTGGAGGAACTGCCTGCAGGACTGTGAGTGGTTTGTTGACTTTAGTAGCAACAGTTTACACTAAGCTTCAAAGATTCATGTCCTGCATGTCTGAAAAAACAACTGCTTTATGGCCACTGAGGATTCTGCAATTAAAATCTGAATTGCCTCGTATTTAGTGAGGTTTATGATGTGGTAAAGCAATGTTCAAAGCATATGTCAGTTAAGTGGAAAATCTTCATTTTTCACCTCCACATATCACCATGTAAGCCTTTTTTTAATGTCTTAATCCCCTCCCTGAATTATATTTGGGTATACGGTATTTAGATGGTGATGGACTGTGACAGCAGTATACAGTCCGCCTCCGCCTTGCCAAACTTAATGAAATTATTAATATTCATAAAAAGTAGGATTCTTCTTTTCTGGTTTGCCTGAAATATTACTAATACTGCGATGTATTAATGTCTAGTGAATATCTGTTTCAGTAATTTGTATTAAGCCTCATAGAAGAAAAATCTGCTAATTACACTGACAGGTTTGACATTTAAAGATCCCCTCCAGACATGCTTTATAAGACCTAATACAAATAGTGAGCTTAGAACAATAATGTGTGTCTGATTAGTTTTTTCCACATTATAATCATAAAAAGGCATCTACTCCTTTTACCCTATTAAAAATTCCAGATTCTATGAATATGTAAATTTTGTTAATTTCTAATGTTTTCCGGCTGGACACAAGATGTCTCCTACTTCATTGTAAAGTCCATTTTCAGTTCATGTGCACTGGTGGTTTCAAGTTTTTACATCACACTTGTATAACGTGCAAACGAGACCAGGGTCGACTTTCCCCGCCCCTTAAAAATCTGATTTTCACGTAACACAGAAAAACTTTCCACTTTAAGCAGATGAATGTGAAAACATCCTTCTTCAAACTGTGCACATACATCATTCTGCACAGTAAACTGTAGGAATAAGAAGTAAAACATATTTTTGAGTGTATAGACTTTTAAGTTGATTCCAATTAAATTCTGTCTTGACTTTTCCCCTTCTCCTCTCACAGGCTCGCTCCAGTCTTCTCTCTGTTCGTGCCTTTCTACCTGTTGATCCCCAGGATGCCGGTCACCCAGGTCCTGGGCCACATCCACATCACTAACAAGTCTCTGGTCTACATAGTAGGCTTGCAGGTAAACCCATGTTCTGCTATTGTGGGGATGCATGTGTGTCTATTTTGCTTTCTCTTTGTACTGTTTCTAAATTCCTGAGAATACTCGCTTTCCAACTAGTCTGACCGTCATCATTTCTGTCTTCCTCTCTCCTCCTTCTGTGGTACAGCTGTTGACTTCCAGCCCCTTCATGTGGCTCCTTGCACTCAGTGGACTGGTGAGTAGCCAAATTAACTTACCATGTACATCGGAAGTGTATCTGTATTTAGTGTAGCTGAGTTGGGTGTTAAGTCTCTGTAGGTTGGCACTGTGACCTAACTTGTCACACAAGTGATTTTATTCATTGTAATGTTGCTTAATAACAGCTTTGGCTTCAATACTATATACTAACTTTTTTTTAATCAATGTGCCTTTCAGATCTCAGGCGGACTGTACCACTCCAATGTTCTCTGGTTACAGAAGATCCTTTTTGTACCCATCTGGGTGTCTCGTATTGGACGGTATATTCTGGAGCCACTCTTCTCAAGTGAGTGCAACTGTTAGTAATCGCATCCACACATTACTGCAGTGTAAGGACCTGACATGGAGTTGTTGTCTCTCTCTGTCAAACTGAGGGATAATAATATTTGTACATTTTAGGCAGTGATGCAGAATTAATTAAAGGTCCAGTGTGTAACATTTAGGAGGATCTATTGGTAGAAATGGAATATACATAGGTATGTTTTCGCGAGTGTATACTTACCTGAAAATAAGAATGGCGTTTCGTTACCTTAGAATGAGCCGTTTCTATCTAGGAGGCCACCATGTTTCTACAATAGCCCAGAAGGGACAAACAAAACACTGCATTTTTTGTGCATTTCTTGGCCACTGTAGTTTCCCCCCTCTCTCTTGAGAGGGGAGGAGAGGGGAAGGGAGAAGCAAGTGAGTTCTTCAATCTTCAACTACACTGCTAGATGCCACTAAATCCTACACACTGGACCTTGAAAACATTAACATGTGCTAAACACTCTATATTGTTCATTCTCCTTCATTAAAAAAGATGGTGGAAAAAGTAAAGTTAGCCTTATTTTCCAGATGTACTTCGACTTACGAGATTGTCGTGGCCATTTGATATACTTAGGCTAAAGTTAAGACTCATGTTCCCAATTTCATAGACACCATTCATTACCAAGTAGGATTTTACTTGACAATTGCAAGAAAAAGAAAAATCAGCTTTCACAGATGGGCTTTAATGTAATTGAAAGAGAGGATTGGATTAATGATTAAATAGTAGTATAAAAGCATACAGAATACATTAATATAAGTAGTTTCTGACTGACGTTAATGTCCAAAAGATAGGGTCATTGTGAAGTGCAGGACATCTAAAATATTGATGCTATTCCCAAGCAACTGATGCATCCTTTTCTTTAAACAGAAACTTCTTTGTCACCTTGCTCTTATGCTATTGATGTTCAAATATTTTACGCTGTTTTGTCTGCTATTAACATCTTTGGTCATCAAGGCTCCCAACCAAGCAGTGAGACTCCCCTGGGGATGGGTGCCACTCTGGATATCCAGAGGCAACAAAGGATGGACATGCTCGACCAACAGCTGCTGCTGGCCCAGTACAACGAGGCCAGGAGGAACACCAGACCCCAGTCACAGGTAAAATGACACACACACACACACACACACACACACACACACACAACACACACACAGACTTATTGTCACACTTATGCACAGACTGACCCCCCACAAACACACACACAATGTCTTGAAATTTGTAAATTAAAAAAGGACCAGTGTGTAGGATTTAGTGATTTCAGATTCAGATTGCAGCTAACTGAACACCACTCACATCTGCATTTGACAACTTGAGAATGAGAAAGGGTTGTTAAGTGTGTAGGAGAAACTACAGTTGCCATGAAACTCGTGAAAAACAGGAAAGGCCCTATCTACAGCCAGTGTTGGGTTTGTCTGTCCTGGGCTACTGTAGAAACATTTCTACATGGCATACTCACTGCCTCTTTAGGTAAAAATCTCTCATTCTAAGGTAACGAAAACACACTGATTCCTGTATTCAGGCGATTATACACTAATGAAAACATACCTATGAACATTATATTCCATTTCTGCCAATAGATCCTCCTACACACTGGAACCTTTTTAATTCACCTCAAGCAACAGATGCCGGTAACTGCAATTGAACTAACTGTACATATGTACGAAGTGCTTGATTCTGCCTCCTTGTGTGTGTAGTCTGGGTTGTTACAGTGGACCAGGTTGTTCCCATCCCTGAGACACAGAGGACAGAACAGACCCCCGATGCAGCCCAGCCCCCAAGCTCAGACACCCCCATCCACACAGCCTCCTCTATTAGACAACTCTCCTGTCGCAGAGGAGCAGGTGCGTATTCATCTGTGTGTGTCTGTGTATGTATACATGTGTTTTCACTGGTAGTTTTCGTTAACTTTATTGCATATCTTAATATTCTTTTACATATTTTATGACCGGCATGACTCAGAATCTTTATAAACAGACAGACTGCTAACTCTTTGACCAAATCTTGATTTCCGGGCCCACCTACGCCTTACTTTGTGAAGGGCAGCCTTATGAAACATTCCTAGGTGAAGATTTCTCAGCCACTGCTGTCTCTCAACTGATGTCTTTTTTTGTCCCACAGGTTGCACGGTTGGTGGAAATGGGCTTTTCCAGGACTGATGCACTTGAGGCTCTCAGGGCTTCAAACAATGATATCAACATGGCAACCAACTTCCTCTTGCAACACTGAGAGAGAGAGAGAGAGAGAAAGAGAAAGAGCTCAGTTAGAAAAACAGAGGTGAAATGAGGACAGAGAGAGAAAGCAGAAAGAGGAGCAACCAAAGCAGAGGAGCCAAAAGCGAAACGGAGAGGAAATGTCGGACAGAACAAAACCGTGAACGATGGAGACAAACGATATTTGTACAGATGATCTGAAGGCTGTCTCGCTGCTCCCTGAAGCAGTGTTGGGGCTGACCCTATCTGAACTGAACCCGATAGCAGGCTGATTAATGAAGAAGTGTGAAGCACAAAGTGGGAGACATTTGCGTCATAGCTTTCTGATGGCCGTTGTCGTGTGAAACAGGCGTCATTGCTCAAGGCAGACGAGTTAGACCTCTAACTCCAAGGGGGATCCCTTGAAAAATACACAGAAAACAAACAGGTCAGAGCTTTCTTCACAGTACATCTTTAAAAAAAGAACCACACACACACACAAGTCTTTAATCCAGTAGAAGAGATATAAAGTGGGTTACTTCTTTAAAACCGAACGGATGCTGAAGAACACAAATCAGCTGAGATCCCACACACCCTCCACATGGATACCAACTTACAGCTTTGTGAAATAGAGTTTTATATAACCCGCTGTTATGTACTGCCACTCTACTTCCAAAATGGCTACTGTGAAACCAGCATCTTAGATTCTGGTTAAATTTAAGTATAAGATGGAAAAACGGATAAAGCTAAAGGTGAACAAGGTTTTTCACACAATGGATCAGATAACATTATGTCATCAATCAGGTTTCCATCTCATATTGGAAAAGTCTGAAACAATAGGAGTGATAACAGGCACGCAGCACCTGCTAGACGATTATATTTAACTCCATGAGGAGGTGCAAAGGTCATGATGTCAACTTCAAAATTTATGATTTAAAGAATCCTCGAACACTATAACCTGGGATATCATGATTTTATTACACAGTTGTTCTTTCTTTATGTTGGCAGTGTTTGATGGAAGTAGCAGGGCTCAACCCTTTCCTGCTTGAGATGTTTTAACAAAGCGGTTAGCCTGATTGACAGCTACTGTAGGAGCCAAAATTCCTTCGAGCTGATTGGTTTGGCCCATTGGAAACTCTACATTGTTGGTGACAGACGGGGGTGTTTGGCAGGAAACGGGCTAGATTGGATATCTCAGGGTCTGTAAATGACATAATCACATTTACAGACATGAGTACAGATACACAGATGCACAGTAGCCCTTCGAGTAGGGCATTTCTCACATTTCATGCTCTCAAATGCATATGGTGACACTTCTCAACATTTTATTTATTCTGTCTTAACTGAGTTTGAGTCTTTGCTCTGCCAGCACACTGAATCATTGCAAGTCTTAAAAGACTGATGATATTTATTATGCAATATCATGATGAGAAATGTATGGAGACTATGCACTGCATAGTACCTACTTTGTGTGTGTATAAATGTGCAAAACTATTGTCCAAGAGAAGTAATGTTGCAGCCACTATGTATTGATGTCAAAGACAGATGCTAGTTTTATATTTTGTGCATAATAATATTGATAATATTTGACCACTGAGATGATCATTTGGGTGTATGTATTTTTCAGAGTGTTATAATAGAATATGGGTGTGATGAGGGAGTTGTTGCATGGACGACTCTCTGATGAATTGTAATGAATCATTTGGTCTGTGGAATAAATCAACTTGCTTACTGAATTATTTGCATCACATAGGAGGAGGCATTCATTATGACAAGCATCTACTTACAGTCCACAGTGTTCTCTGTATTCCTAATCCTTATTATATCATTCCAAATGATTGACCTTTCACCACCATCCCTAAATTCCTATGCAACCAAATATAATAATTCACAGAGATGATGCTGTGATGTGAAAATTTAAAACACACAAATGTACAATTTGAGTAACGTATTCTAATAGCTGCAATGCAATACTATATCAGATGCTATCACCATGCAGTATAAATATATCCTGGCATCATTACAAGTTTATCGGGAGTCAGTACTCTGTTGTGGTACTACTTTTAAACACATGATGGCACTCTTGTGACAAGATAAGACATGGGTTAATTTGTGTCAAGAGAAAATGTTCATCACAATACATATGAGCAATGAGAAAACAAAAATTAAAGTCAGACTATAATTTGGACTGGCTTTAAACAGTAAAATAAAAGTAATGGTTTCTTAAAGTCCCATGTCAGTTATTCCTGGGGCTCAGATTTTTATTTTATTGATTTTATTTAACAACTGGAAAGCTTTGCCTTTTTATAACAAGTGTTCAAATTAAACAACAAGCCAGAGAAGGTTGGAAACTGTTCTAGGAGATGCAATATCTCCCAGCAACTATCCTTAAAACAGCTGCCACTATTTTAAGGATGTATTCTTTCACTTCTTCTGAGCGGTGTGTTGTCTCCAAGACCACCCGTTGGGCAGAAAACCAGTGTATTACCAGTGCTTTAGTCTGCAGTCTGCCTTTTCTCACTGTCTGTCCAAGGGCAGATTTTGTATCTGTATTTTAGGTTTTTAAACAGAATCCACAGCAGAGATGCCCACTGTAGAAATATTCATTTGTGCATTATTCCAATACAGACTTACTGTAACTGTACAAGGAAATTCCAGTAATTCAGAAAGCAATAAAAGTCGGGTCTATAAATGTATGGAGGTTTCATATCACCATAACATTTTGCATAATGTATTATTATTACAAATAATAATATTGTTGACAGTTGGCAGTTAAAGGGTCATTAATAATAAAAGTGTACATGCCTGTTTAACTAAAATTAGATTTTAAAAAAAGATTTAAACATCAAGATTTTAATGTGCTCTAGCAGATTTGAGAAATACTTTTTAAAACAGCGTGACCACGATTGCTCTGCTATTGTGAAAGAACCCACCTGTTATTGTTAAGTTACCTTTCGTCACTAGATGGAGACATTGAGTCAGATCTCTTGTTACTGCCTGTTAGCCATCTGCCACACCCACCCTCTCCGATTATTCCACTGAGCAGACAGCTCCAACAGACAGTCTCGCTCTAGGGTGGCTGAATATCAATGTAGAAAATTATGCACATCTTCAAGTCAAAGAATTTCAAAAGCATATGGTTTGCCAACTATTCCTTGAAACACGAAGGACCAAATTATACTTTGAGGAGCCTATATTTTTCATCTGGCATACGTTGCACTTGAAACTCCCACAGACACCCAAGAAACATGTTTTTTTGTTTAAACAAACAGGGTCTCCTGAGTTCACAGTGACACAGTTCCATCCACCCTCAGCTGACGTTGTACCCAGTCAAGCAGTGCAACTTTTAATGGCTGCTGAATTGAAAAGCAGCTTAAACCAGAGTGATTAATATCTGTGTGTGTCTTTGTGTTTCAGTGTTTAATTAAAGACACTGATTAAAGGAAAAAAACTTCACTGACAACCAACCTCATTAGGCAGATTCTTTTATGAAATGCCCACTTAATGTGCAACATTAATCAAGTCTCGTTTTTTGGGTAGTGATTTTGATTTCTGAAGCTTTGGGAGGGAAGTTTTTATTTAAAAAGGGTAAAGGGTAAATGATGTGTCATGATAGATGTCCATAGGTGATGAAACTGGTTTTGATTTTGTGTGAGCAAGCATGTCTTTATATTTAAACCGCTGTGTGAAAGTTGCGTATCCCTGTGTTAAACCAGGAGCATCAGCAACAGTAACAGAATGATGATGTACAGTCTGGGGGTTTCTCCTTGTCTGGCGGAGAAAAACCATTATCGTTTACAGTACAGCCGACTGTGGCCTTGAAGCATCAGCAGTTGTGTCTGGCTATTTGTCATTTCAGGTAAGCCTTCTGTGGCTCTATTAAGCAAGGCCTACTGTACCGTATATCATGATAGACCTCTACTGTAGGAACTGAGTGATGCTTGTGTGTGTTTCTGCTCCTGCATGTCTATACTTTTTTGAAAAAAGATTGAATCTTTTATTTTATTTAGGCTAATTAGCTTCTGGGCCAAGGTTAAACTTAAGTGTTGGGATGGATAAAAATGCTAAGGTAATACTTAAAGGAATGGTTTAACATTTTGGGAAACAAGATAAAAACAAAGCTGCTTTTTACAGTTAAACACATAAGATATACGTAACATACTAATTGGTGAGCTTTGGAGGTGTATGCGGATTTTGATGCTTTCCAACGCAGCCAGGCTAGCTGTTTCCCCTGTTTAAAGTCTTTATGCTAAGCTAAGCTTATCGGCTGCCAACAGACAGACATGAGAGTGGTATCGATCTTCTCATTTAACTCTCTGCCAGAAAGATTTTGCTGTTTCTTTTAAAGCAGCATTGATTGCAACACAACACTGACATATTCAAATATAGCCACACTATGGTGAACATGTTATCATTCACTTGGAATCATGTTTCTGGCACCCAGGCAAAAATATCTGTCTTTTTAGCTGCTAAATGCTCCACTATCTGCCAGTTGCTAATTTTAGCAGGTAGTCTACAGTCGGAGTTTATTTTTTATTTTTTTTTAGCTGCAAACAATAAAGTCTAACCAAAACAAACAGCTGAAATACACTATAATACTCCACATAGCTTGGGGGAACTGCTGAGTTTGGTGTTAATTCTCGGTGGATTTGCCTTAATTAATGACCTCTTTCACATTACACAGTCATTTCATCCATTGTTAATATGAACATATTGGTTAACGAAGCTTACACTTTTCATATCGGTGCCAGTAATTATCCACAGAAGTAATATGTTATGTTCTGTTATGTTTATGGTTATGTTATGTTATATGTTATGTTATGGCATTGTATGGTATGTTTATGTTATTTCAGGTTAGGTTTATGTTTTAATAGGAGTGAATTACTTGCTGATGCTGTGCCACTGACATGCATGTATCACTTCAAACAGCCAGAGGCCAGCACCAGCTCCAACGTTGTCTCTGCTATATTCCCCTCACCAGCTCTGTTGCCATGGTGAGTGCATGCCGTTTTGTGTGGTTACCATGGGGACCCCATATTACAGCCTTCCTCCTGCTCTCATCATGTTTCTGCATGATCATTTGTATGCCTCCTGTACACTAATGCTTAAAAAAAAAAAAAAAAAAGCGTTAGCAGCACAGGGGAGTGCCCTCAGGGATTGCCTTCTGTAGAAACACGACAAGGTATTCCTGAAGCTGTTTCAGTGGATGTCAGAAATACCAAAACGTCTGAATAACTTTCTCACTGTGACTTTGCATGTTTGACAGTGAAAATGTCAGCTGTATGAGGATAATTCAGAACAATGCCATCTCTTTTTCCTTCTGACTTCTGAGCCCATAGCTATGAAAGACAAGAATGCTAAATGCCTCCCACTGATATGGTAATAATATTCAAGCTGGTGTGCTTTGAGATAATGACATCATTTGTTTGCTTGATTCCTTCTAACAATTACAGTCTGTCCATGTCAGTCACACTCACAGGTTAATGTGCCTTTGTATGTGTATGTGTGCACGCATGTATGTCTGCCAACATGTGTCTACTCGTATATGCGTATGCGCCTGACTGCACCGTGCTCCACGTGTGAATGTTTGCATCCCATTCTCAGGGCAGAGAGCGGGAAGCAAAAGCCACTGATGTTCTGCCCTAGTCATTTAGAGTGGAACTTAATAGTTAATGGGGCACAGAAGTGTACCTGCCTTCAGGCCATTCAGCAGTTTGGCATTTCACATTGTGTGCTGGCTCCTGTTTAGTCTGTGCTTGCTTCAGTTACGTCAGAAGGAGTGCAATCTTCTTTAATCATTAGGGCTCGGCTAAGTTCACTTTGGGCTTTGTGGGTTTGTTCAACCTGTTTTTCATCTTCCAGCAGTGATGACAGCTTGTAGATGGCCAGCTTGTTTTTCTTTTTTCCTTTTGTTTGCTGACACTAGATCGGTGCCTAGACCTGCCTAAGCCCAATTATTAGAAAGCCGCAATCCCACAAGATACTCATCTGGAAAACAGTCATTTGCAACCCAGGCATCTCCACAAAAGCATTCCCTACTTCAACTCTCTAATCAGCATTACTGTGAGGTAAGCAACCATCACTCTTGACCATCAACTGTCACTGACCCCGAGAATATGAGACATCATATTTGTCTGTGAGAGCTTTGGGAGTAGTCCATCCCTCATCGGGAGCACGTAAACAGAATTTGGATGTTATGACAAAGATGTGATTACCACTTTTGTTTGTTCAGAAATTACCAGTAGGAGATTAATTTGAGGTGAAGCCCAAGTAACTCCAGATAAAAAACCGGTGCCACTATTATGTGAGATGTAAAGACCACAGAAAAACAAAATGATTGGTTGTTATTGGTTTTGGAGGAGAGTTCATCTGGAAAAGCTAGTGTCAGTGTCATCTGAAGAATTTTGAGCTAATGTGGCCTTTACCCCCTCTTTTCACTCCGTTTCCTGCTCTCTCTCCTTCACACAAATGAGCTCTGATGCTCCGCAGACACTGACAGTAAAACTTAAATGTGCAGAATGTTGACAGGAGTGGAAGCCGCCTACTTTGCTCTTTCCCTCCTCCATAAACTATACCTTGCTTTTTTCAGTGCCCCTGTAGAGCCCTCAGTACACTCCCAAGAATCTCTCTGTGTCCTCTGACCTTTAATAAGGTTCACTTCCTCTGTAATTGTACACACACACGGTATGGCATGAACGCGTGGTTCGTGCATGGGTGCGTTTATTTTTATGCATCT